TTGAATTTTTCTAGAGCCTCATTCATCTGTTTTGTTACTTCCTGTGCTATCAGTTCAGGGTGTCCAGGTGGTTGATTACCAGACTTTTCCACCTCGTTTCCTTCGAGTTTGCCTTTGGTGGGTTGGAAGTCTGGGATTGTGCCTTGCTTAAATGTCTTCTCATTTTTGCTTTTGGTAATGTCCTTGGTTTAATTCCTGGGTTGATGCTTCGATATTGCTGATTTTAACTATCTTTGTTGCATGTATTTAGAACCCTTATGGAATGATTGCTTCTCAGAGGTGTCTTGCAGATATATGTGGGCTTTAGGCTTTGAATCTGTAATGACTCTGGCCCAATCTCATTTTCATCATGTCAGGAAGGACAACTTATTAGATCAATCACAACACCTTAGACCAAGTGATAAAATCAGCAACACCGTAGCATCAAGCACAGCTTAGAGAATGACAATTTGTGTCAGTTATTGATCTATCACCTTTAACTGTGTGAATTAAATGAAAATCAAGGACCAGTCCAACATATGTTTATAGTGAATAGACTCTTTAATTTAGCAACTTTACCCTTAGGGATGGGGAGTTAGATGGAGTTGGGGAAGGGGGGATCGATAGGTAGAAGAACAGGGACAGGTTATCAGTGAGGCCAGAGGACACAGGAAGATCACACAAACTCTAAGAAACTGTTGAAGATAAGAAGAAAAGACAGAATGACAGAACAAATATGAGAAGAGAACAACCTAAAAACAATAGGGAGGCTAGAAACTGTATTTACTTTTGTTTAAAACTAATGACAATCAAGAGAAGGAAAAAGAGAAGAAAATAAAAATAAAAAAGAAATCCAAATTATTGCCAGAACAGGAACAAAAAGGGAGAGAACAGTGTGGGTCAGTGAGAGAATGAGGTGGGGGGGGGGGAAGAAGAAGAAGAAAAAGAAGAAAGAAAAGTTTGAGAAGTGTAGGAAAAAAATTTAAAATAAGAGGAAAAAAAGTAGTTTTGAAAATAAAAAATAAAAATGAAGGGCCTCCTTCATGGTATGTCTCTGCTGTCACAATAAACAACATGAGTAGCAGTGTCCAGGTATAAGTCAATGAGTCTCAGCAAGCTAGTAGCAGACCCATGAGATTCAGGCAGATTTCTGGCTGCAAGTCCAAAGTTGAGCTCCCTGACCTCCTGCAGGGTTGAACTCTGCAAGGTTGTACTGCAGGTTCCAGCTACCCTTCCCCTGAAGATAGTCCAGGTTCTGATGGGAGATGATGATCCCTCCAACTTACCAAGTACAGTTGTCTGGTGTGCCTTTATTGCAGAGATTTTCTTCACTTTTCCAGTGGGCTTCAATTTTCATCAAGGAGCCTGAGAGAGGCCTTCTTCTTTCTGTTGTTCACTTCTGCTCTATCTTCTAGAGCTCAGGACAATGGCCTTTATGATGCCCTGTGCCTCTGTAGTGTGGAAACAAGTACCAGCATAGCCACAGGCCAGAGTTGGGGGGGGATGGGGGAGCACTGGGGGATTGCATGCTACAGAGCATGGCTAAGCGGGTTGTTGGGGGTGAGCCTTGAGCATAAGGAGCCCAGCTCCATGCTGCTGAGGTCTTCATCATCCACTTGGGGGTCCGATTTTACCAAAAATCCTCAAACTTTTTAAAGTTATAAAGCTACCCTTTGTTTAAATTACTCAAGAGCTAACTATTGAGGTATGCTATCAAAAGTAAACTCACCATGTGAATGTGACTAAATGTTTTATAGTATGTATGACAGCTGTATTATCACAGAAAGAATCCATAGTTCTACACTTTTATCCTTATTAGTACTTAGGAGAGTTGCCATTTGAAAAGATAGTCATGATGCCATGCAATTTTTTTTGCATGTAAAATAAGGAAACACATTTTATTTTCTTTTAATTGAATTTGTGAATTATGAAATAAGCCAAAAAATGATCCATCAGTTAAAACTTTCAACAATGATCATTATTTTAAAGAGTAAATTCACCATCACTCATATGTATGTTTAGTATATAATACTAAGTCATATTTTTCTCAAAATCACAATATTTTCATGGCTATATTTTCTTATATATTTCACTAAAAACAAAATCCATTTAATTCTTTCCCTCCATCTCTATGTTTGTATATGTGTTTGTGTGAAGAGACAGACAGAGAGAGAAAGACAGAGAGAGAGTTGAAGTTTTAAAGTGTTATTTCTTATTTCTGTAGATCAGCAGATACAGAACCCATGGATCTATTGTGTTTATGACAAGTTCTGAAAATCTCAAGCAGAGCTTTCATTTTTCCACTTCAAAACCTGGGAAACATATCAATAAACTTCAACTATCATCACATAGCTGCTTTTTCCTTGGATGAGTTTTGGAATCACTAACAAACCTTTAAGCCTTAAAATACGTAAGGCTTTGCTAATATCACCAAACTCCTAAATAAGGTATACTCTTATTCTCGACATGATGTTCATAATATTCTAGACATATGCTAATTATTTGACATAATTTCTATATAAACTGGAATGAGTAATGAAAATGAAATTATAGATTCTAAAAATGAATGTCTGATATACAAAATTTCATCTGTGAGGAAGAACAAAGTACACAAACTTACTAATACAATGATTTATTGTTTTTTTAGCCCTGTGAGTTACTAAATTCTAAAGGAGGAAGTAGGAACTGACAAAAATCAGGACTCATCCACTGCCTTCTTCCAGGCTCAGGCTTCAGCCTATCAGCTCTTCCTGGGCCACACATGAGAGGGTCTCTTGTTGTGCTTTTCTGGAGACTACTTGGAGCAGGGAGTCCTCTTTGGTTCCTTGGCCACCTATTGGCTGCTGATGCTCAGGGCCTCCAACTGCATGGCCACTTGCACAGTATGCTCCTCCAAATTTGTCTCAGGCTGTTCCTTGAGCCGTGTCTCTTTCTGAGGCTCCAGCTTGGTAGTGGATTTCTTGTCAGAACCAGGTTTAGGCATCCAGGAGGGCTCAGGTCTCTGGGAGCATTCCCCCTCATTGGTGGCTACAGAGGACAGATCCTGCGTCTTGAGGTGCAGCCAGCAGTGGCTAAGAATCTGGTCAATATGCAACCACTGGTTGACATCTGGCTGTAGCATGCGGTAGATGAGGTCCTTGCACTCCCTGGTCAGGTGCTTATAGCATGGAAAGTTGACACGATGCTCCTTCTGGAGACTCAACATTCTCTTGATATTAGAATCATCATAGGGCATGGAACCACAGACCATGATGTAGAGGATCACACCCAGACTCCAGATGTCATACACCTTGGGTTGGTAGGGGATGCCTTGTAGCACTTCAGGGGCTGCATATGAAGCTGACCCACAGAAGGTCTTAATGATAGTTGACTGCTGTGGTCCTGTGAGCAGCACTTGGAGAAGCCAATATCTGACAGCTTGATGTTAAAGTCCTTGTCAAGGAGGAGGTTCTCACACTTGAGGTCTCTGTGGACAATGTCCAGGTCGTGGCAGTATTTGATGGCTGAAGAGAGTTGGTGGAACTTCTTTCGAGCATCATCCTCTTGCAGGGCTCCCTGGGTTTTGATGAATTCCAGAAGATGGCCCTGGGCCCCAAATTCCATGACGATGTAGATCTTGCCCTGGATTCTCTCAAAGATTTCATAGGTCTTGATGATGGAGCCATGGTTTAGAATAGTTAGAATCCTAAGTTCCCGGGGAAGGAATTTCTCTAGAAAGTCAATGGGTGCCTTCTTGTGGTCAATGATCTTGATAGCCACATTGATCTTTAGGTGCTCAGAGTAAGCAGATTTGACTTTGGCATATGAGCCTTCTCCCAAACTTATTCCCATAATGTAGCCATGTCTCCTAAGGACAACATCTTCACCCATGGATCCAGGAGTGCCCAGTGCTTCTAAGACTACCCTCTGTATCACTGTGAGATCTGGTCATCAATGAACTCAATTCTATGGTAGACAGAGTCTAGGCTGGCTGGGCCTCCTGTCCCTGTTTCCCAAGAGGCCAAAATCTAGGATGAAACATTCGAGGCTACCAGTGACTTCAGTGGGTGAAGTCACAAAGGAGTAGTGCCCCAGCAGAATGAGGCTCTGACCTGAGCCACTTGGACTTGGAACCCAGAAAGGTCCTCCAGTGGGCTGGAGCAGACTGAAGACCAGAGTCGCCTTGTGCTTGGTTGAGACCTGAGAGAGAAAGGGTTTGTCAGAGACATGAAGTTCTCCCATGTTTCAAAGCCCAGACCCAGTACTGCATGTAGACTGGTGAGTCTGGTGGTTGAAAACCAAATCAGCTCAGGGAATCCATGGAAGGTAGTCCTAACAGACTCCCAGCAGGAAAATGAAGATAACCTCAATTTAGGACAATCTAAGGAGGGCTTAATAGAGCATCAATTTACCAATGTGGAACCAGGATACAGGGAACCACAAGGGTAGTGCAAGATCCCTGGCCTGCATGGCAAAAGCATGTAAGAGTACTATAGAGAGGGCCACCTTGAGAGAGGCAGTGATTTCTGGTGGAGATATGGAGCCAGGTTATAATGACCCCACAGACCTATGACAGAGAACATCCCTCTTTTCTGTCCTTCAACTTTCAATGCTGTTTACCCAGGCAGCCTGCCGAGGCCAAAAGCAAGACTGAGAAGAGGGTAGGTGAGTTAGGAAAGACAAATCATTCTGGTGCAGCCTTCACTGCAGTTTGGGAAGACAGGACTCTACCCTCATACTGCATGGTTTGGCTCGATTTTTCACCTCCCTGCACTGCTTCCTCATCTGAACCTTTGCTGGCCTGCTTCTTTTATAGTGGCTTTGCAGGGAATTCTGTTCTTGCTTGAAAGTTCCCTCCTAGTGATCTACCCACCACGTGGCCTTGGCTAGATTGCTAGTGTAGATCTGGTCAATGTGCAACCACTGATTGACATCATATTATAGCATCAGGCTAGGAGGCAGAAAACTGGACCCAGATCCCATGCTGCCCATTGGAAGCTACTCCTGGGAATGATCCATGAGCCCAGGACTACCATTCTTTTTAATACCTGTGGCTCTTTTCACTGGGTCTATGTCTTTCACACCCAATTTAGCTACTCATTGACTAATTACTTACTCATACACAGGTATATGTGTACACATCCATGTAATATATATATATATATATAACATATATATCATATGATATCAACACATATCCATATAATATATATCAATATAATACAATATAATATATGCACAAATCATATATAAACACACACATATATATTTTTTAGAACCCAAGAGAACAAAGCTATTTTTGTTTCTTTCTCTTGATCTTTATTTTCCTTTGAGCTAGTCCTGAATAATACTAGTATATTAGTAAATCTTTTGATTATGGCTTTCCAAGGAAACCCAGGGGTCTCCCTCCTATATTTTTTGTTTCCTTTGATTCCTAAAGCCAGATTTTACACAAACCTTCTGTATCTCTTCACTGCTATTTGCTTTCAATGATTCTGCTATCAAAAATTTCATGAATTGCTATTTTAAATATAGCTTTCATATTAACTATCTTTATTCAGGCAATTTAAAAGCAGATAACATCACTTATTTTGTTGAAAATTATTTTAATTCACTTGCCACAGCTAGCGGATCAGATATTGAATTAGAAATTACCTTTTTATGATGCCTTCACATTTTTATTCTAGACTTCCCTATAAATTGCCTAGAAATAATAGGGTGAATTAGGAGCCATTAGTGGAGTTGTTTTTGAAATCTCCTTTATATTCAGCCAATTTATCTTTTGTTTTAACTTATTTAACAGTCCTATAAAAGTTCAACTTGTTTTCAAATTCAATTAAGGGGCCATATGAAGGAACTTAGTGAAGTCCTTTACCTTTTCTCAAAGAAGGAAATGATAAACTTATTGTTTGTCAACCTTCTTAACAAAGCAACATCTACTGAGGCTCAGTAACCTTGAAGGCAACCTATTTGCCAATAGTATGAACAGACTCTTGGTCTTTCGTGGGTTAATTAGCTTTTCCTAAGAGTATGTAGAAACCATTCTGCAACTCCATTTTATCTTCAGAATGAATTGAAACTGTGTTGCTTATTTAATGAGCACTCCAGGGAGTAGTAGTAATTAATGAAACAAGATTAGGGAAGCATTAAATAAACAGATACCGAAATAGGCTTAATATTAAAGTGTTGCTCTGTACCACTGAATCATTTAGTAAAATCATTTTTCAAATTGGTTATGCAGGGATACTAAATATTCATGGCTTCCTTCTCATTGTATCTGACAAAAAATTAAGGATTAAATAATAATAAAGGGATAAAATAATTTGGTGGAAGTGCTGCTAGCCTGTTAGTGCAACTTTAGTCCATCTGATATATTCTCAAACCCTGGTAATAATTACTTTCCTCTCCTTTCTTTTTTTTTTTTTTCTTTTGGTACCGGAGATCAAACTCGGGAACTCAGGTCCTTGTGCTTGTGCAGCAGGTGGTGAAACCACTGAGCTAAATCCCTGGCCCTCCACTGCTTTTTTGAATGATCCATACTAACAGTTCTAGCCATAGAATTTTTCTTGCATTATCCTTTTTTATAAAAACTTGCATTTCTAGAACAATTAAACTTTAAAAAGTTTTTACAAAATATGATATAATCTTAAATCAAACTCTCTAGATACCCAATTTAGTTATTATTGCCCCTAAACAATAGATTTAATGATAAAAATTTTCATCAACATTTATGGACTCAAATTCTTTAAATCAGTCTCTAGATAATGTATCAAGATTATAAATTTGTACATCTCCATTCAACAATTATTTTTTGAGAGTATTTTTTAATTTATATATTAATTGGTACATTTTAGGTATACAATACATTTACATTTATCATTGGGTGTTTGTACCTGACCATGATGTATCTTAGTTCTTATTTTTTCTCCCATTACCTGTGTGTCCTTCACCCCCTCCACCCTTCCGTATTTACACAGACTTTGATTCCATTTTTAGGGGGCCAAAATTTCAAAACATTAAGCAGGATGTAAACCTTTTTAAATTGTACATAGAGTGTTATATGTGCACATAGGGAGAAACCATTATTTTCATAAGATTCTTTAAAGGATATTCAGATAAATATGATCAAGAATCATGAATTTAACCGATTTTCTTCTTTTTTTCTTCTTTTTTAACTTGAAGGATTTGGAAATTGTTTTTGCTTGTGTCTTGATGTTCCCCCAAAGCCTCTTGCAGTGATGGATGGAGCTTTTTCTGGAATTTGTTCATGGTCCAATTCTAGGCTCAAGAGCCCTAGGATTGAGGGTGTGCTACCCACCCTAAGAATCTGCATAAAATAAAAGGGACAGAAAGACACTGTTAAGGTCCCTTGTTGATTGGCTATTGTCTGTCAGCCATGAACTATTGCCCTTCTGCCACCTTCCCTTGGAGCCAGCTGATTATGGACTGAAACCTCTATGAATTGTAAGCTGAATAAACTCTTTCCCCTTTAACTTTAAGTGTCAGGTATTTTGTCTCAGCAATGAGAGAAAAATAACTAAAACAGAGATCATCCTGATAGTAGACTTCTATACATATCAAGCAATTCTATGTTGTAATAACTACTTTTGGGGATAGACAATAAAAACCAAGAACAAATGTATTCTGTTCTCTGGTTATTCACTATCTAATCATGAGTGATAAAGGAATTTAATCCATTGATTATTCTAAGGTGGCAACCTGTTTTTTGTTTTGTTTGTGTGTGTGCAGTCTTTGCTCAGGCTAGCAGTCTTAATGCATAAATTGGAAATAAAAATCAGTCACCAAATCTTGTCAGTTTTCTTCTGATACATCTTCCTCAGCTGCCCAGTGTTTCACTATTTTAACTCAGAATCTTTCAAATGTCACCTGGATTACAATAGTTTCAAAAGCACTATTTTTGTTGTCCTTTCTTGATACTTCACATTGAAGTAAAAATGATCTCTTAAAAATGTTCAATCTCAGATTATTACTTTAAAGCTTCAATGTCTTCTCACTGATCTTAGTATAAATTCTAGATTTTAAACACTGCCCATAATCCTTTGCCAAACTTGTACACTTCTTGATTCCACAACCATATATCTTATTATTGTATTTATTTATCCTTTGAGCTTCCATTTCAAAAATACTGGGTCTTTTTTGATTCTTCAACACTTCAACAAAGCTGAGTTCCTGTAGTTTCCAGGTTTTCTCATACATTAGTCTTCACTCAAGTATTGTGGTTTTCTCTTCAAACCAGTAGCATTTCAAACATTAAAAATATATTTAATTTTATTTCAAAGGCACATGATGACTTAAAAGAGAATATTTTTTCCATAAGGATCAGGTAGCCTTATTTTCCCTAGTATATGGTATGCTTTTAAAAGATATCAATATAAAACAGATAATTATCCCCTCCTAAGAAGCTTGAATATCATATTTAAAATATACTGAATGATCCCAAAGTTTATAAGAATTTTATCTACTTTGACATTTTCTATTTTCTTCTTCTTTTTTACCCAACTATTCCTGTATCATAACACAGGGTATTAGTTACAGCTGCAGTGTAATATTTGATAGGAAATTGCTTCACTTATTTTCTCCCTTTTCAAAACTTTGTAGGAACTTTTTATGTTTTTTTGTATTAATTTAAGATCATTTTTATTTATTAAAAATCCATGGCAATTTTCATGGATAACTAGATTATAATGATGATGAATTTCAATTTAATTATTTAATTTGTAAATAATTGGCCTGTTAACATTAGCTATTTTATTCGGGAAGATACTTTATTTTATTCAGCTTTGTACTCCTACAAAAATTTTCATCTTTTTATTGCATTTCGGTACTGTGTGTCATTTCTTAAGTATTTAATTTTTTTCTTATTTATTAAG